AGGAGTAGTAAACTTTTCAAACATCAACCTACTTTTCTTCCATATTTGAAGGGTACAAGGATGTTTGCTCTATGGAAATTAAAAAAGGGAGCACGGAGATAACGATATATCACACGATATTTCTATTTGAAAATTTTTGAAGGTCACAACTTTTTAATTATAAGGAAAAGAAATCACATTCGTTTAACAGATCTAAAAGTAACATTGGATTTAGGTGGTCCGGGTGAATTTTGTGGTGCAGCGTGCACAGCGCGGACGCTCGCTCGCGTCACACTGAAAGCAGTCTTAGATACTATAAGAAAAGATAAAAGAATTATTAATCAAATATATTAGTATGATAAAGTCTTTTCAAGTTGATACTAATGCAGTATGTGTTAATAAATGATTCTCCTTCTTAATCATATTTTTTATTTCTATTGGCAAATTTATTACTTTTAAGGGGGTATATGTTTAAAAAACGATAAATGCAATTTAAGTAACCGGTTGCTTCAATCGTATCTTTTTTATAGTGTTATAAAAGGACTGTTTACAAATTAATTTGTTCTTAAAAAAAATGTTAAATATGTAACAGTAAGTGACTTAAATGTGAAGTTTCAATTTTTAATATTAACTTGCGTATAAATTAGTACGAAATAGGAAGGACAACAACATATTTTAAATGATATGATTCTGACAACTTTTCTCTATCTATATTATGTAATTATGTTACATAAAATATTTTTTACTGCATGAGCTGCAAGCACTTCCTAATAAGCTATGGGACAGACCTGTCTGTAGTACGTTGATAAATATAACTCGATGCATTCAGCGTCTAGCAACAATAATAATCTACCTAAATAAAATTTTCTATTTACGATACTCCTCTTTTGAAACCATTCAAAACGTGTTTGAAACATTTCTGATATCACTAAAAATAAAAGAGATATTTAGGTGTTGGGTGTTAGTTGAGACACCCTGTATAGTCAAATTGTTTTCTTCTACCGATCACGATCTTCTCGTTACCTTATATCCTTCTATTTTCGAAGCACAGTTTTCATTCTTACACCGGGCGATCGCTACTCATTCATACAGTGGTGGCCCATCACAGGGCAGTTGCCCGTGGGGGCAACTTTACTGCCCGTCGATCACCGTGTGCTCGGGCCCGTCTAAAAACTACTCTACGGGTAACTGGCTGCTCTGCCTTATCGATCATCAACTATATTAGGTGAACAAATTAATTCGGTGCCTTTGATCACAAAGTCTTGACTTTATCGACTTAACACCGTCATATTTTTTAACTCTTTGCGGTCTAACCCCGGGATATTCTCGGCAAGGCGTTTTTACCGTTTGGTTTTGCAGAAACGAAAAAAAAAAATAATATTCACACAGCTTAAACAAACTCACTTGAATAAAATTTATACGTTTTTTAGGCAATAATTTTTACGTTTTTTAGACAGGCTATCATGCCTGCGGGAAATGCAACCGCAAAGAGTTAATAGAGGAAATTCATCCGAAAAAAGTCTTCCAAAATGATAGAGATTATTTCGAACGATAAAATTCTGTTTGGTTTGTTCCAAATAAACATTCAAGTTCTTGAAAGAAGGCACCGAATTAATTTGTACACATAATATTTGAGATTTTCAAAAGGGACCCTAATTTTTTTCTTTAATCAAACATTGGTGGTAATAATCTACTTTTAAGGTAGAATGCCCTCCTTGTCCTTGGACGGCTCTCCCTGGCCCTCAAGCATAGTGGCTACACCGGGAAGTCCCAGTCTGTAGGGTAATATAGCATGGTGCCTTAGGAAAAAGTTAGGACCAAAGGTGAGTGGTGATTTCAAATTGGATTAATTGCACCTGTATCATGTAGTTTTATGACACGTTAATTGCAACTAAGTGGGCAGAAATAATGCACAGTTAAACCATGTGGACTGTAGAAACGCAGAGAATTTTTGGATTTGGGCTTAAAGAGCATCGAATGAAGAAGAAATCATTGAAGAAAAATCACTCAAAAATAGCACGGCTACGCATTCGTGTCTTAACAATCACTTATCAATAAAAACAGTGAACAATGTTCACATTAATGTAGTAACTATTGCATAGTTTCGAGATCGCAAAATTAATGCCTCAGAGTGGGCGGTATATTCTTCCAACTAAAATTTGATGGAAAATAAGCAATATCAGAACGTATCAGAATTAAAAATTGTAGTTAGACAGCATGGAATGTTGTATAACAAGAAGCACAATAAAATTTGATCGCAAGTATGAAGAATTGAATATATAAACTTGTTGAAAATTGGGAAGACATAAATGTTATTACTGTTATTGTAATGATTTCGTTCCATTGAATTTTCAGTTTAAATATTTGTTTGAAATAGCATACAAACAAATTTTTTTAATCAATTTTTACACACAAATGTGTATATTATTTATTTCCGTCGAGGAACAGAATTTTTCTGCGTGTTTATTATGACACAATCCTGTTTTTGTCTCTTTAAATTCAGTTTTAATATTCTTTTGGATGGTTATCATAATTATGAAATGCAGCGTATATAAATTTATCAAAATTTCAAAGAAGAATGGATAATTTAAGACGTTCCGAACCATGTTTACCACCAGTGGTAAAAAAAAGCCCAAAGAAAATGCGCACAAAAGTATATTAAAATAACACATTTTTCTATAATTAAATAGTTCAATCTGTCTTTTCAACTTTGTTTCAAAATTTTGCCAAAGCTTGTATTTTTCCCGTAGCACGAAACGTGTTAATGAAGTACCATTACTACCATAACAATTAAAATATACAAAATAAAAATCCCAAGATTTTATAACTTTTTAAAAGTTTCAATAGATTTATATAACTGATTGAAATATTTTAAAAGTAAGTTTAAATAAGTTATAAACTTATTATATTATTTGTTTTTAAAAATCTTATACACACAAGGTGTCTCTGAATTAGTGGTATAACCTGTAAAAAGGATGAATCTACATGGAAAAAGTAAATCGAAAATGTAGAGTTACATTTTTCCATACAAAGCTCCATTTCAGAAAAAATCGAAGCTGAAGATTCTTGGAATATCCATGGACTTAGATAACATTCAGATTTATCACATTGGACAGTGAAGGATAAACAATGAAATAAAAGTCAGAAAAATATTCCTACAGGATCGGTCATAATGGTAAAACAGCTTAACCACGACGATCCTTAAATCGATTTTTATCGAGGAATTTTATCCACGTTAGGTCTTTTGTGTACCGTGAGGAGAATACCAGTACAGAACATCAAAGAGAAAATGATTCCAGCATTCTTCAGTTCAACATCGATTTATTCAGAAATTAAAAAAAAAAATGTTTACTTTATATTTTCGACTTATTTTTTTATATAGATTCACACCTTTTCGGATTATATCACCAGTTCGGAGACACCCTGTATAGTGTACATATACTTTTCACTATCTTTGTTAATATATTGAAGGGATGATTTCAAAAACCATTCTAACGAGACGAAAATCAAGACTGACAAAATTGTGTGCGAGGCTTCGTTAATTATTTATTAACAATTAAAAACTACGCCTGCAGCAGGCAACTTTCGTACCCCGGTGTAGGCTAGGCTGCCACGCAACCCCTTGATCGGTGCTGTACCAAGCGAAGAAAGACACGCTTACTTAACAGTAGAAAACATGACACATGGACCGACACAATTTTACGAACATTTTATAATGAAAGTCACAATTTTCATAATTTCATCGTGAATCGTAGAGCGACATTGAACCCCTGTCCCTGTGCATTTTTGTGAATAAACAGGTTTAATGTCTTTCTACGATTCACGAAATTGCTCGCAAATTCTGTCTGCCTATATGACAGTTTCTACTGCCGAGTAAGCGTGTCTGTCTTCACTTGATGCAACACTGACCGCGCCGTTGCGCGGCAGCCCGGCGTACACCGGTGCACGGAAGTTGCCTGCTGCAGGCGCAAATAATTAACGAAGCCTCGCACGCAATTTTGTCAGTCTTCATTTTCATCTTACAATAGCTTCCGGAATCACCCCTCAAATTTATTAACGAAAGTAGCCGAAAATCCTGTATGTCTAATATCCTTTCTATGATACAACTTTTATAATATATGTACATCTCATGCTAGAATAAAAGTATTTGATTACCAAAATAGAATCTATTCATAACGTCTATTTCATAACGTATACTGGGTAATATAGCTAACACTGGAATCTGAGATTTCTCTGTTATTTTTTTTGACGATACGAAGAAATGTGCAAGGAAAAAAATTTGGGTTAAACAGGTCATATATTATGTTACAGAATTTTTTTTTCTGTTATGTTTTGCAATAAACAAAGTTAATATGGTCGTCGAAAATCGACATATTAGTCACAGATAAATTTTTCTACTTATTCGTTACAATAGGACAGTAATAATAAATATATCATCCCATTTAAGAAAATGTTAATAACTGTGAAGTTTCGAGACAGTTGTTTGTCGTAATGTTTGCCGATATATTACAAAAATTTTTCACTTTTACATTTTTTCGTATTATTAAAAACAGTGAAGAAATTTTAGATTCAAATGTTTTCTGACTCGTCCTGTGCACACGTATAAATATTTGAAATATATACAAATAATAACAGATACATTTTAACTAAAAAGTAAGAAATGACAATAATGTTATGAAAATATTACGGAAATAACTACAGGTAGTACACAAAATACATTATAAAATAAATTATATTTCATATAGTTT